TCCTAGTTTGGCCCAGCACAGTTCACTTCCCAATTACAGCAACAGCCTTATATCAGAACCACATATGTGGAGAAAATGTTCAGTAGCAATGAGAGCATTTGCTGTTGCATTTAAGTGATGTTAACTATTATTTAACATTTAAACTTACTTTCAGATTTTTTTATTTATTCAAAAACCCTGGTAAGGGATGTTTTTCTGTATTTGGAGCATCAGAAAAAGTTTTATGGTGGTGGTGATGTTTTACAGTCACTGAGAAACTGCATGCATGCAGTTTGTTGTTTTGCTGCTAATACAGTAGAAGGTGCAGCTGCATACTTTTGCAATAAAAATGTTATGTTGTAATGGAATTCATGCATTAGTTTTTGTTTGCTTTGAACCCAGAGCAGACGTCACACGCCAGAAGACATCAACACTGCATACTTTAGTATTTGTTCATTTATCGTGAGTAATATCGATATCGCAATATTAAGCACTGTTATTGAATATCGTAGGTTTTCCTAATATCGTGCAGCCCTAACCAAAAGCATTTGCTTTTAACTTGAAAATGATATTTTGAGGTGATTGTACCATCGGGTTTAAATCTAATCTCAGTGGGATTAGAATGAGAAGTGAGGGGCTATCATTCATCCATTAATACGCTGGTGGTGATGAGCTACAATGTAGTCACATCTGGTGATCCAAAGGGTTCAAATGAAGACAACTGGACTTCTTTGGTTTCTTGAAGATGTTTCGCTTCTTAGCCAAGGAGCTTTGTCATTTCTGATTGGAATATGGGAGCTTTGTCAATTCCAGTTAGAATTGACAAAGCTCCTCAGATGAGAAGCAAGAAACCAAAGAAGTCCAGTTGCCTTCATTTGAACCCTTTGGATTACCATGACCTGGATGGCTGACAACCTTTACCAGCATATTCATGAATAAACAGACAGCATAATGTTAGAATAACAATTGTAAAACAACATGTTTTATATCTGTTGGAGGCTAGAGGAGCGCGTTCATGAACCGCAGTCATTAGGCTTGGGCGATATTAGGGCATTACTGTATACAGTCTGCGTAGCAACGTGTCGGTTCCAATACGTCATGAAAAAAAAAACATTAAAAATGCACGTAGGACACAAGGATTAAAAATAAAAAATAAAAAGATACATAAAAGTAATTTAATGTATAAAACAGAGATGTGGTTGAATGTTCACTTAACAAAAGTCATTTAAAATGTTTTGTCTAAAACAAACAACTTCTGCAGCTTGGGAGTATTTTGGGTTTGAAAAAAACTTTAAAAGAGAGCCAGTAAACATTGATGAGGTCATTTGTGCAAACAAAAGACGACGCGAAAGACGCATGCCTTGTCGTCACCGCAGATGAGCGAGACGGACCTGAAATAGCAGACTTCTGTCTGGAGCCTGTTATTAAAAGAGATGACAATGCGCTTTTCTGGTGAAAAATATGCAGCCAGCCTTCCCCAGATGTCACGACTAGCACCAAAGTACCCGCGTGTCTGTGCCACAAGCTCACCAAAGCAGCCGTCCACAACGCAAAAGGTAAACATGCTGGTTTTTCAGGTGAAAATTATTTTTATCAGCAGCATTTTTTGTTGTTGTTGTTGTTAACATTGTGTGTGTTATGTTGTTATTGTTTTAGTAATAGTGTTTGTTATTCAATGTCTGAACGGTGAAGGTCCAAACCATTGACATATAAATATTGGACAATGGGTTTCCATAGACTCCAATAACACGTTTTTGAAGAAAAATGGGAGGTGGCCACCACCGCCATTTTGACCGTGTCACACGTTCAGTCAAGCCCAGACAATTCCACAAAAGGGAAGAGAGGAGGAGCTGAGGGTGGGGCTGTAAGGCTGGGATCAACTGACGACAACCGGTCGAACTAGCTACAAGCTAACCTGAAGCTAACCCAAAGCTAACGCGGAGGTGGGAGCTAAGCTAACGGAGGTAGCAACCTAGCTACAACCGGAGTTATCTGTGCACATCACCAGAGCTTCTGAGTCAGAGATACGCCGGGCTGAGCGTTGGGTAAAACTGGGTAGAACACAGAGGTCTCCGAGACCGCCACAAGCCAGCAGCCGCACAGCAGAAAAGCACTGCTGCGATCTGAGAAGCACAGAGCTGCCGCTGGGGAGAACCGGGTGGAAAGGTTTCCATCCAGAGCTCCACAAGCCGGCAGCCCGCGCAGCACACAGAATCCGCAGCGATCAGAGACGCGCCGAGCTGCGGGGAGGGGAGAACCGGGTGGAAAACAGAGGTCTCCCGAGAGCTCCACAAGCCGATAGTCGGAACCCAGCTGGTCCACCCATTTTCTAAAGTGCAGCATTATGTTAAATGCACTGGATTTTACCCCATTAAATTTAAATGTCATGGTTAAACAGTACATGTTAAAATCTAAGCTCAGCTCGGCAGTGACCTAAAATACATAAATATAATTTTACTTACCGAAAAAAATGAAGTGGAGACTCCTTGGATGCTCTATTAGTGCAATTAATGCCACAGCAAGTCATTTTGTCCAACAATTGCACAAATAATATCCAAAAAAGAATACACACACACTACAACTAATGGTCTAAGTTGAGAGACTGAAAATGACGGAACAGTTTTCAGGCTGAGGCCTTTCCCCGGAGCTAGCTCTGTGGTCCCGTGTGTCGGATGCTCATTAATTATACAGAATTTTAGGCTTTTAATACACTTAAACAGAAGAGTAAGAAACAAATTCACCCCCCTCAAGAGTTGTCATGAGTGTAAACTAGATCATTTAAACAAAAAACATGTTTTGGTACCAGGCTGTAAACATGTTTATTTCTGCTGTGAAATTGGTATTTTTAACATGGGAGTCAATGAGGATTTGCTCGCTTCCGACACCAGCCCCCAGTGGATGACGGTGGAACTGCAATTTATTTCATTTCCGGGTTTGCTTCAATTTTTCACCCGCATTGTGGGGGCATGGTCCAAACCAATAGTTTGGTCATTCCACTTAAATCATTTTAAAATTAGTAATACCGTACACCGTGGTAAAATGTGTTGGAAGTTGGATGGTGTTAAAATCTGGATACTGCCCAGGCCTAACAGCCACTGCTTCCAGCCATAATCATGGAAGTAGGTGAGGGGGTTAAGATGCTAGACATTTTTCTGGCTCTAGATGGTGTCGTCTGAGAAAAAATTCCAAATTTCAGTTTTAAACCTCATTTAAAGGCAATTTACTGAAATTGATAAGGTGTTTAAATGAATATTTAATCAATTATTGCACAATTTTTCTAACTAACTTAATTTAAAACTGATTTATTTTTTGTATAAATCTTTTTTACCTCTTTAAATATCCTGCCATAGGTTTAACCTGTTAGTCACCAACCCGAATCAGAAAAACTGAGATGCTGAAACGTAACGCCTTATGGGATGAGAGTGATAAATACGACAACAGCTTTAGACTCAGCAGAAAGAACTTCATGTCAGCAAACAAACAGAAGATGATCATTATTTCCTTCCTGAAACTTTATTTGATTTTGCAACAGTCCCAAAGGGATGCTATGAGGGTTTTTAAAGTCGATGTGGCACTTGCACACCAACTCAAATTTCACGGCAAATCTTTGGAATAATCGCCTAAAAGTGTGTGGTAAAACTGTTGTGCATTATATTTTACATATTTTAGACACAATGACATAAAGAATGAAATACAAGACATGGCATGTCCTGCAGGAATTATGAGACACTGTTAGCTGACACCAGTACCACCTCATCTGCCTTTGGCTGCAAAAATATTTAGCATTGAGCCTCATGGGCGGGGGGTTATACAGGTAAAATCACGAAGACGCAAACAAATAAAGCATGCAAAGTTCCACCAAAGGTCAAAATTCAAACCACAGCTTACAAATAAAAAGGTTTGTTGGTAATTTATAGACAATTCGTTCACAGACAGTGTTTTTCTACCTATAAGGTGTTGGTAATATGGGAAAAGAAAGTTGCAGATTTCCAGAAACATTCACAATGCAGCAGGAGCTGCCAGAAGGGTGCAAACAGCATGAAAACAACAACTCAGCAAAACAGTTGTGCACAGTGCTTGAGGACAACATGCTTTAGGATGAATGCTATGATGGGTTATGATGAGCAAACAAAAGACATGATGGGTGTAAACAGATTATATCAACTGTTTTCCAACCTGGTGGGAATGCGCAGGTTAAGTGCTCGTTACAAAACTCTGCAGCTGGGTAGAAGTAGTGTTTTCCTAGCATGAAAACTAGTTAAACATTACATTTATTGCACACAAATTACTGCTAGCCAAGCAATTGCCGTTGTATCCTCGACATACCTCCAAAACTAAGTCCTGAAATATACATACCGGTAATCTAAATATTTGTGCAACTTTAACGTCTTCATGAAATCTTAAGGAATACACAGACTCCTTAAGGTAAGCATGGAAAATCCATCCATCACAAACCAACTAATGACAAAAACACAACTGAAAATGATCTGAGGGAAGACTTTCTAAAAGAAAAGTAGCTGCATTGTTTGGTTTAGTCAAACTAAACACTGTAATCCAATCAAGACGAGTTTACTCACGTTCCCTTTAATGGAAAAAGAAAAATCATAGTAAACTAAAACACCTGGGGGGGGGGTTTTCTAGCAGGGCATGCCCCTTTTAGACCTCGACGAGAACATTGGACACCTTTTAAAGGTCAACCCAGCAACATGAGCGCTGTAATAATAATAATAATATAATCATTTTAACCCAAAAGGTGCATGATGTGATCATAAAACCTGCATAACTAGGAGTGTGTTAACTTCAATGATAGCCTCGTATTACTCGACAAATATTGACAAACTAAGAAGACAACGCCTTCATCTGCTCAGGTAAAAATGACAGGTTAACCTTACAACACGGGTTTCTCTGATTGTACTCGCTTCTCTTTACTATAAGCAGAAATCTGCCCACTCGGGACAGCATAGCTGAAGTTAAAAGAACAAACACTTATCTTGGATCATGTAACATGCTCGCAAACTTACGCTTTGTCGCGTTGATGAGGTTCTTCCCATCTTTGTACAGTTCTTTGATAAACCTGTTGGTTTTTTCCAGCTCCGCTTCGTGCGCCTTGATTTTCTCCCTGAAGCAGGGGTTGTCCAGATAGCACTCACTAAACTCCAGCGGGTGTAGCCCCATTTCTGACAGGTTGATAGCTTCGTGTTCAACAGCGGGAAACTAGCCAAACTCTACTTAGTTAGCTTATTAAAAAAAAAAAAAGGTCTGTTAGTGTTGAACTGATGCTCTCGTCGCCGGAGATTGCAGCTCAAGCTGGAGAAACATAGCTACGTGTAGCAGCAGCTAGCAGGACTTAGCATGGTAACTTCTGGCATGGGTGTTGCTCTAATGCTAAAAAAAAAGAGGCTAACTGGTAATGTTAAAAGGTGGCAGCGATACTTTATCGAGTGAAAGGCTCGTCGGGTAAGGGGAGTAGTCAAAAAGTCACCGATGCGGTGTCCTGGTCTTTCATTGTCCATCAATGGCACTCCACCTACTGAAGTGACAGATTGAGAAACTCTGCTGACAACTGTGTGCGTGTAGCAAAACTTACTGCCAAAGAGTAGTCACGGGAGCCAAGAGGATTCACTCCACCGTCACTTTGACAAAGGGCCGCGTGCAGTTTAGCCATGCTTGACCTTTACTTTATGATGAAGCTATAACATGAAGTTATTCTGAAGAAAAATCCAAAATTTTTACTTAAGATTTACTAGATCTCTCAGAGATAATAAAACTGAGCAAAAACTGTCAAAACACAGACATGTTTGTGTAATGTCCTTTTTCTAAACACATATTTTCTCGACAAGAGACGCGTGTCAGAACATCTGATGTTTATAAGTATGCTTCAAATACCCTCTACTAGCCAAAATCTTAGATGCTTAAGTTGATAAATATATTTAATACCTATTTTGGTGCCCACAGTAAACTAATAACCAGATGCTTAAACAAGAGTGTGTGAGGCAGGGCTGTTTACATGAGGGGGACCTAAGGCTTCACGGTAAAATATTTTTAAAAAGCACAGATTTCTGCAGTTCTGCAAAGTTTTATTATGTTTTACTTCAATCAGCCACTTTTGTTTGCGTAAAAAGAAAATATGTATACCTTTCAAACAGGAAAAATACTAATGTTAAATACAGCTGTTTCATTTTTGGGAGTTAATTATAGAGCAGTCTCAGTGATGAGTTGAAATTGTGTGGATCTCAATTGCACTTCAAACATTTCTAAAACATAAAATAATTAATAAATATATAGTAACTAGGGCTAGGCGATATGGCCTAAAATTAATATCATGATATATTGAGAATTTCACCTCGATAGCAGTAAATGGACGATAACTGCGGCTATGCGCAGAAACAAAAGTTGTACACTAGATGGGGCTGTGACATGTATCACGTTGAGTCAAATTTTAAAGGGGCATGAACGTTGCCAACCTACACACATCTTTTCATTTTTTTATTATCATATTTATTGACATGAGAAAAATTATCACGATAAGATTCTGAAATTTCAGTAATGATAACTGTTCAATTTATTGCCCAGCCCTAATAGTAACATAATGAATATGGAACCAAACATAAATCATTTTGTTATTTTGTTGTAGCTGTTTTGTATCTAACTTATTACGATGAATCTATTCTGTTTTGTGTATGATAGGTAATTACTAAGCCTCGGCTTCAGCCTATTCCTTTTCCTTTCGATTATAGAGATTGAGATTATTAAAATATCTGTTCCTACCATTGGTTTATAAATATTCCTACTAAGGTTCCTATATATATTACGTTGTGTCGTTTCGGTGAACTGTCTTGAACTACTGGGCTCTTTGATTTTGCATCAAGTGATTCAAATTTATTGTAGCAAATCCGAGACAGTAGTATTTACTGCAGGCCAATGGTTAGATGAATACAAACAGGTGTTCTATTTTAAAACGTGTATGTACTGAATCGATCCCGTTTACATTTTAATCGGTTTTAAGTCGTCTGCAAATGACCGGAACCATTAATTTGAGAAACAGTTGCTTCCGTGTTGCTTTGAGCGCGGACTCAACGGACTATGCATTTGGATATTTGGATGTACGATTCAAGACAAAAAGGGGGAGTTATCTCTTTATTCAGCTATTGGTGAACGTTTGAATATTATAAATGTGGTGAAAGTATCGCAGTGACCATCAGAACAAGTAATGTCCTGTGGGTTTATATCGGTTTGCTGTTTTAGGAGGATAATTAAACACCGTCGCGAAAATGATAATGTTGACATGATGCCCGCACGTTCACGACTTTCTACATGAATCCACTTGGTTTGGCCGCAGGGATCTTGTTTTATTTCTGTTATTTTGTCTCCAGCCCACAGTAAGTGTGCATATAATTCTCTCTCTCTCGTTTATATTTATGTTTCAAATCCCCTCAACTAGCCAAAGGTTTAGATGCTCAAGTCGACAATATATGTGTGTTGCCCAGTTTTTGCCCTCACGCATTATCAGTAAACTAATAGCAATCTTACACCGACCGCCGATGCTTAAATAACGAAGTCTGTGAGGCAAGGCTGTACACACACACACACACACACACACACACACACATACACACACACACATATATATAAACTAATTTTCCTTTATTAAAATGTGATATTTAATGTAGTTTCATAGTTCAAATGTATCTTATGTAAAAACATATCATAACCAGCCAATTCATTTTTCCCTGTAGAGATAATTACATTTCCTTGAACATATTGCACCAAACATAAGATAAAGTTCTTATAATAATTGAAGAAGTAATATTGTTATAATTATCATCATCATTTCATAAACACTCATTATTTTTTTTCTCTTGAGATGCCCAACACCAGTGCAAGGCCCAAGCATGGCAGAAGGACCCGGAGGCGACGCAGAACGGAGGACCTTGCCAGGGACCAGCTAGTCTCCAGTTCCCTAGAGAGTGCCCAGCAATGTTTGTACAGCCAGGATTATGGAACAGCTTTTGCGCACTACCTCCTCATTCTCAACCTGGCTCCTGTGTTTAAGGACTTTGCAAGGGTAATGGCTTAGTACTTTAGTGCACCAGTCATCCTTAACTAATTTATAAATGTGCAATGACAGGTAAGTAAACCGTGACCTAACTTCTGAAAGAAAAGAAAATATATCGCTTTTCTTTTGTGATTGGGTTTAAGATTTTTAATGTTAGATTTTTTGAAGCACCTTGCATGTTTTCTTAAAGGTGTTGAATACTGAAAAACACTTTTTCCATTACCATTCCTGATCACAATCGGGCCCCGGTGAAGAAAAATATACATGGAAACAGCGTTCCCTCGCCCGGACGCGGGTCACCAGGGCTTCCCTTCTAGAGCCAGACCTGGAGGTGGGGCAAGTTGGCGAGCACCTGGTAGCTCGGCTTTCATCCATGGAGCCCAGCCAGGCACAGCCTGGAGAAGAAATGTGAGTCCTCCTGCCTATTGGGCTCACCACTTGTGGGAGGGGTCGGGTGCATTGTATGACGGGTGGTAGCCAAGGGTGGGGACCTTGGTGTTCTGATCCTTGGCTACAGACACTGACTCTTGGCTTGTGGAATGTCACCTCTCTGGTGGGGAAGGATCCTGAGTTGGTGTGTGAGGTTGAGAGGTTCTGCCTAGATCTAGTCAGACTCACCTCGATGCAGGGCTCTGGCTCCGGAACCAGTTTCCTTGAGAGGGGTTGAATACTGTACCACTCTGGAGTTGCTCCCACTGAGAGGCGCCGAGCAGAGGTGGGCATAATAGTTGCCCCCATCTTGGTGCCCGTATGTTGGGGTTTACTCCGTTGAACGAGAGGGTAGTCTCCCTACGCCTACGTGTGGGGGGAGAGGTCCTGACTGTGGTTTGTGCTTGTGCACCAAACTACAGTTCAGACTACCCACCCTTTTTGTAGACCTTGGAGGGGGTGCTGAAGAGCTCTCCTTCCAGTGAGTCCCTCATTCTGCTGGGGGACTTTAACGCACATGTGGGCAACGACAGTGAGACCTGGAGAGGTGTGGTTGGGAGGAATGGCCCATCTGATCAGAATTTGAGCAATGTTTTGTTATTGGACTTCTGTGCTAGTTGTGGATTTTCCACAATGAACTCCATGTTCATATGTGCTCTTGGCACCAGGATACCTTAGGCCGCTGTTTGATGTGTGACTGTCTTGGACACTCGGGTAAGAGAGGGGCGGAGCCGCCAACTGACCACTACCTGGTGGTGAGTTAGCTCTGATGGTGGGGAAAGATGCCGGTCAGACCTGGCAGGCACATGCGTATTGTAAGGGTCTGCTGGGAATGCCTGGCAGAGTCTCCTGTCAGAAGGAGTTTCAATTCCCACCTCCGACAGAACTTCCAAAACGTTCCGCGGGAGGAGGGCGGACATTGAGTCAAAATGGACCTTGTTCTGTGCCTCCATTTTTGAGGCAGCCGACCAGAGCTGTGGCCACAGGGTCGTCGGTGCCTGTTGTGGCGGCAACTCCCAAACCCGCTGGTGGACACCAGTGGCTAGGGATGCTGTCAAGCCGAAGAAAAGGTCCTATCAGGTATTTTTGGCCTGTGGGGCTCCAGAGGCAGCTGACGGGTACTGGCAGTCAAAGCGGAATGCAGCTCAGGTAGTCGTGGAGGTACAAACCCGGGCGTGGGAGGAATTCGGTGAGACCACTGAGCAAGATTTCTGCACTGCTTTGAGGAGACTCTGGTCCACCATCCGTCTAGCCTAGTGAACTAGACCAAATTCTTGCTTTGCAAAGTCTGGTCTAGGAACGCTCCACTGGAACCTCTGCAGCCCCTAACAGCATTCTGGCTGGCCAATCACAGCTCTCTAGAGGGGTTTCAAACACATAAAAAGCTGTGATTGGTTCTTAATGGTGGGCCAATCATAGTATTCTATCTGCTTAGTGAACAAATCACAGAGCTTTATACACTTTGTGGGCCAATCAGGGCACTCTCTATGCCTGGTGGGTGGGATGATGCAACAGGGTGAAGCAAGATGGCGACAGCTCGTTAGAAACGGCTTTTACATCAATTTTTGACTATCAGAACTTGGGCTTCATCAGAATCAGGAGCAGATAGATGTATTTAAGCGCTTTTTTTTTTTTTTTTTTAATAAAAAATAGTGTGTTTTCTCCTTCTTCAACTGCGGACCAGCTCATTTACCGATGGCTGTTGCGGTGAGTATGTCACATTCATTGTCCAGCAGCATGCGGAGATCATTTGAAAGACAACGGTAGAACCCGCCCCACAACCGAGAGCCATCAATGGAGCGCTGCCGGACTAAATAATACATGTATTTAGTCTGGCTTGCCAGGCTACCATCCGGCCCCTCTGGAAGGGAAAGCAGTGCGCTATGAACACTGTTTATAGCAGGGACGGTGTGCTGCTGACCTCTACTCGGGACATTGTGGATCGGTGGGCGGAATACATCAAAGATCTCCTCAATCCCACCGACAGATTTTCCAGTGAGAAAGCGAAGTCTGGAAACTTTGGGTTGGACTCTCCAATCTCTGAGGTCACTGAGGTTGTCAAAAAGTTCCTCAGTGGCAAGGCTCCAGGGGTGGATGAAATCCACCTGGAGTTCCTTAAGGCTCTGGATGTTGTAGGGCTGTGTTGCTGACGCGATTCTGCAATATTGCGTTGACCAATTCTGTTCATAACTTACGCAGCCAAGGTGTTGAGGGAATCCGTTTTGGTGGCCTGAGGATCGTTTCTCTGCATTTATAAGATGATGTGGTCCTGTTGGCTTCATCAGAACGTGATCTTCAGCTTTTGCTGGAGCGGTTCGCAGATGAGTGTGAAGCAGCTAGGATGAGAATCAGCTCCTCTAAATCTGAGACCATGGTCTTAAGTCAGAAAAGGGTAGAATGCCTTCTCTGGGTCAGGGATGAGGTCCTGCCACAAGTGGAGGAGTTTAAGTATCTCTGGGTCTTTTTCACAAGTGAGGGAAAACTGGAGCGCGAGAGCGATAGGCGGATCGGTGCTGCATTTACGTTGATGTGGGCATTGTAACGATCTGTTGTGGCGAAGAGAGAGCTGAGTCAGAAGGCGAAGCTCTCGATTTACCGGTCGATCTATGTTTCTACCTTCATCAATGGTCACAAGCTTCTGGTAGTGACCGAAAGAACGAGATCGCGGATACACGTGACTGAAGTGAGCTTCCTCCGCAGGGTGGGGCTCTCCCTTAGATATAAGGTGAGAAGCTCCGTCATCCGGGAGGGGCTCGGGGTAGACCAGCTGCTCCTCCACATCGAGAGGAGCCGGTTGAGGAGGCTTGGGCATCTGATTAGGATGCCTCCTGGACACCTGCAGCAGTCCACACAACATTTATTTTTTCCATAAAACTTAGCAGGCATCTGAAGTAATTCATTTGCAATCATCTGATTTAGAACTTTTTTACTCAAAGATTTAGAAAAAATTGCTTCTCAGTTTTCTTTTATTCTTTTGCACACACTACAAACTAAGCAAGTTGCAGCGAAAAATCTTCCTTGTTATCGGCGATCTTCAGTAACCTCGTCCTTTCAGGAGTCGTTCAGGTTCACTCTCTTCAAGTGGGCTGAAGAGCTGGACTCTGTGGGACGCATTCAGGAACTCTTCGACTGCTACGAGCAGGCACTCGGAATTTTCCCAGCTGACGAAGTCATCATTAACAGCATGGGCGAACAGCTGTTCAGGTACTCTCATGCAAAACAAAGGAGACCTATTTATTTTGCTCTTTTATCAACTCTTTGTTTTGTTCAATCGTCTAGAATGGGATTCAGAGATGAAGCAGCGGGTCATTTTCACAAAGCCTTAAAGTTGAGACCAGACTACCCGGAAGCCAGAGAAAACTTTTACCGTGTGGCCAACTGGCTGGTGGAGCGTTGGCATTTCCTCATGCTCAACGACCACGGCAGGAACCAGAAGTACCAGCAAGCCATTCAGAAGGCTGTTCAGGGCGGCTGCAGCACTGTACTTGATATAGGTACTGGCACTGGAATCCTTGGGTGAGATTTTTTCCATCAGAACATGGATGGTCATCTGGGAGCTGCTTCTGTTTTTCTTAGTGGAGGATTCAAACAGATGTTGTGATGTTCTATTTCTGTCCCGTCCAGCATGTGTGCCAAGAAGGCTGGGGCTGCTGAGGTGTTTGCCTGTGAGCTGTCCAAAACCATGTTTGAGTTAGCTTGTGAGGTGGTGGCTGCTAATGGGATGGAAGGTAGCATCAAGATTCTCCATAAGAAATCTCTTGAGTTGGAAGTGCCAACAGATATCCCACACAGGTAGGACATTTCTGGAATTGTATATTTATCATCACAATGTTTTGTTTAATTGTTTTTGCTTTAAAAAAAATAACAATTTTTTTTCCTGCATAGGGTGTCCCTGGTGGTGACGGAGACCGTGGACGCTGGACTGTTTGGTGAGGGCATCATAGAGAGTCTCATTCACGCCTGGCACAACCTTCTGCTGCCTCCAAAGGTTCATTTATCATGATATTTATGGATAAAACGCTGAACAAGCACCTGTGTTGTTACTTCTTTAGCTGTGTCACAAACCTTCCCTTCTTTGGAACAAATATAACCTCCTGATGCCAGAAACAAGCAACACACCTCTCCAAAGGATCATCACAACCTGGGGCCTCATTTATCAAGCTTGCTTACACACAAAACAGGGTTGGAAAACTGCGTAAGCAACTTTCCACGCAAACTCTGGGATTTATGAAAGAGAACTTAGCGGAAAAATGTGCTCAACTTTTGTTGACTAAGGACCTGGCTTACGCACGTTGTGGACATGGAGAGCACCTGCAGTGCTGCTGCTGAGAAGGAGAAAATTATGAAAACCTGCTGCATTATTACTTGTACTGCTTCGTTTTCACACAGAACAACCCCCCCCTCCCCCCACATGCACACACTTGCACGCGCACACACACACAGCCTGAAGCGCAGAATACGGAATGCAGAATATCAGCAGGGAGACAGATTGAGACAGAATGTCATGTGTTTGTGACAGCGTGTGTCCTGTCACTGTGACCTGATTGATCGTGCACCCTGGCTACTTGTACAAGGGAGATCTCTGTTTGGCTGACTGGTTAGTGCGCGTGACTTTCACCTGGGAGACTGGGGATCGAATCCCGATTGGACCATTTTCTCTGAAGAATTCACAACATTGACGGCTTCAGCAACGCTGTGCCACTCCGTGGATTTTCTCTTATTTGTTTTGCAAAAACACTTCCTTTCATTTCTCCACCTCACCCACAGGTACCTCAATTTCTGCTTGTGAAATAGCGCTTCCTTGATCTGCGGTGTAATCGAAATGCTGCAACAAGCCGGCTTATGTATAGGTCCTTCTCAAAAAATTAGTATGAGATCCACAAGGCACTGTGCATTGACTATTTATGGCAGTAAGTGGGCGTGGTGAGGGCGTGATGTGACTAAAAAGCAGCTGAGAAACATTCTCGTTAGTCTCTGATTTATGAAGCGGAGATTGCGTGCAGCTGTGCAAACTCCATGTTTGATAGATCACAAACCTGCTTGGCGTAAGTACATTTTTTTGCTGAGCTTAAGTACGGTTTTAGTAAGTATTCTACGCAATGTTTGATAAATGAGACCCCCGGTCATTCCATCTTCCAACTGCTGCCATTAGGCAAGAGATGCAGAGCAATGAAACGGAACAAACTGCCTTAGAAACTGGTTTCATCCTGAATTCCCAATAACTAAACCAGTGGAATATTTTCATAATCAGACCTTTTCTATTTACTAGTACACACTTGATTCCTATCTTTTTTAATCATAACAAGTTGACTGCACGTTCTGTTTTTTGGTCTTTGCGAAAAGTGACCTTGACTTTAAAGCTGCTTCGCCAAATCTACTGAACAAGCAAGCTTTTAAACACAAACGCATTCATGGAATTCTCACTCCTTCTGTCCGCTATTGTCCCTAGGCCACACCCCCTGATACGGAAACACGCATCTCCACAGCGAACGAGAGAGCGCTACGCCTCAGCCGTCGTTTTCTAGGTCCAAAGATCTTTTGTTGTTTGTGACTTCAAATGAGGTTTTTCTTTTTGGGACCCTGGTAGTTTGTCCTAAAGAAGTGGTAGCAGCCGGCTGTTTCTCCTTCTCTGATATTATTAGAAAACTCCTCGCACTAGTGGTGTTCTGTTGCTAAATACATGAGTGACTGGAGGACCCAGGGTAGTGTGGAGGTGCAGCAGTTTGGTGAGACCGACCAGTCGTTGGTATTAGACTGAACTGTTTTATTGGCAGAGGTTTTTAGACGAATACAAGATAACCACTTTATTATATTTTTTTATCTCCACAATATATTTATACCTATTAGAGGTCGACCGATATTGGTATTTTCTATTGTTGATATCGATGGCGATATGTAGGAGACACGGTCAGTCAATGGACGATATCCAGATGTTTTGCATCTTATTGTAATGGAATGAAGAGAGAATTATAATTTAATTAATGACCAGAGATATTAATGATCCATATCTAGTAGGGACCCCATCTCTGGACACTGGGCTTTTTCTTAAATCAGAAGAGGGGTTCTTTTTATTAAAGGGAAATTTAATAAACACTTTGCATGAACTGAGAGACAAGAGAAGAGAGAGAGACCTCAGAACGTTTAAGCAAAATGTATTATCTAAATTATTTTAAACAGTTTAACAGGACTAACTCTCTAGTGATGAATGCGAATGGATTGGAATGTGAGGTGGAGTGTGTGTTGGTGCGATGTCAGATCAGAACCTCCGTCTGGAGAAGCGAGTCTGAGTGGGAGATGATGTTTTGCTCCTAACTGATCCACGTTTGAACCGTGGTCAGAAAACACATGAGTAATGTAGAACGGCACAGATAGCGTCTCGTCAGTGGACTTCCGTCTTAGATCAGGCTGCCAGGTCCACGGACCCTCCTCTGGTCCTGGAGCCGAATGAAACAGCGTCCTCAGCATGACAAGCCAGTCTATGGATAGTCTCCAGGTAAAAAGTGGCAGGTGTTTCACAGCGTCAGAGGGTCAGCGAGTTCAGCTTTTATTCTGAAGGAACCGTTGTTTTGTTGTTAACAACGACAGGATTTCCCAGCTTGACAGTTCTCAGCTTAAAAGTAAAAAGTACAGATGGCCGGTCCGTACTTCACTTAGCAATGATGAACTTCAGAGGATCTTGAGAGCTGGCTGAATACTGAACTCAAAATGGCGTTGTTCTGACTTATTAATCTTGATGTTTATTATTTTGGACGAATCACAGCTGACTGATTAAATAAACACCACAGAGACTCTGCCACGCGTCAGACATGAAGGTTCTGATTGGATTTGCGACCGGAATGTGTCATGATTATTTATCTTGTGTATCAGGTGACTAGTGGCTACAATACGTGATTCCTTATTAAACATTAATCATAACATTGTGATTTCACAGATCGGTCACATGGTTATTATTGCCTAACAGTTGTTTTGGTTAGCTTTATTAAAATAGAGTTCTTTGATTAATTAAAAGAAAAGAGTTCATTCTTCGTTCTTCTGTCTTCACTGCTGGAATGTAAACATTAGAAGTGAATGCATGACCTTGAGGCTGTTCCCTGCACACTGACACTGTGTCAAACAGAACAGCTGTTAGAGGGGAGAAATGGCTCCTTCATCACGTTACATTATTTTCATGCTAAAATGTCACTAGAAAGATCGATTGATGCACAAAGTTTCTAAAGCTGAATTAGTTTTTGAAATCTAAATTTATTTAACTGTTACATCTTGACTTAGTGCACTGCTTCGTGGTAAAGTCAGACACCCTAAATAAAGAGTGTTTATCATGCAAATGCTATTATTGAATGGAAAAATATATTTCAATTAAATTCTGCAATAGCACTGGGCTGCCTGTGTATGTGCCTGACTTTAAATCAGCTTTACTCAGGACAAATATTGGACGATACCGATGTATTAAAAAAATGGTAAATATCGACCCAACATATCGGCCGATCAATCGTTCGACCCCTAACGTCTACACTATGTTAGAACGTTGTTAAGAGACATGAAAAAATGTTTTACACTAGCTTGTTTTGCAGATTTGCTATTGCAGCTTTAGAGAATAGTTTGGATTTGATCAAAATCTGATGTCGTCCACAGAATTATCTCCATGTAAAGCTTGCAATTAGAAATGTCGCAAAAAGGACGTAAAGGTCCATGGAAGCAAGTTTAAAACAGCAATCTTGGACTCAGTCACTGATTATTCTTTCAAGTCTACATGAGTTATTTTTTTATTTACACACAAGTTCCTAGGGAGATGTTCTGAACGGAGAACCTGCACTCAGGTGCCTCGTGCTTTTGGTGTTGAATCCTTTGAGATGGCCCATTTGCATCCATCGACAGAGCACTAAATGTTTTTTAGTGAATTTTAAAGAATCCATGTCTCTATAGAGCGATGAGAATGAATTCAAAGAAGAGTCTACCACAGGGAGAGTCATCCCCGCTGGAGCCACAGTCTTTTGCATGGCTGTTGAGTGCCTTGAAATCCGCCGACATCACAGGTATATTTCTTATCCACAGCAGTGAATCCATCCTCTGGTGATTGTTCCACCGCAGAAGATCTGATCATTTCTTTGTTCCTGAAGGCTCTGTGTGACGGAGGTGGGTGGTCTGTCCATGGAGGCGGCCGGGGGACTCCGCAGTCCGGTGAGCTGCAGCTCTGAGCCGGATGACTCCACGGAGCCGTACACCACAGAGAGACTCAGCAGGCTGCCAGGAGGCTACACACCGCTCACCCAGCCATTCACAGCTCTAAATATAGATTTCAACAATGTTCACGTGAGTGAAGACGTCAACAAATTCTTCTGAAACTTTATCCACTATATTAATAAGCTTCTAAACTAAAACATGCTGGATACCGGCCCTCGGGGTTGGGAGTAGGACGTTAGAGATATTTTTTTTACTGAGCTACAAACCTGCAGGTTTTTTTATAGATTAGTTCCTGATACACACCTCATCATTTAAATGTACTCATATTGTTTAAACATTTGCAGTAGTCTCTAGTAGGAATGAACACCTTGTGAGTTGTACTCTGGGGGGAAAAGAAGCACCAGCGCACCTGTTTCAGGAACTAGAAGTGAGCCAGATCAGAGCTGAGCATCAGTTGTCAGGAGTCTTACTTCCTGATATTTGGACATCTCGCCTCTGATTGGATAACAGCAGTGCAACTCTGTCACTGACTCTGTTTGCTTTGCAATGTTGATGTTTTATCTCCACCAATAACACAAGCCTGGAGAAGTTCTGCTGTGTGGTGGAGTTGCTAACGCTAACCGTTAGCTTATACTAGGGCGAGACATCCTCTGCTGTTTCCTGGATGCCAAACCAACAAAAGCCTTCCCTGCCGAGAGTCAAGAATGTTAAGCGACAGCGACAGTATGACGTAGATCTGTCAGACTTTTCTAATTCTAGAGTTTCACCGTCTACTTTCTATCAGAAGCTAATGCAGGAGATAGGTGTAGGAGACTATTTTCGTGATCAGCCTGCGTGAAAAACTCAAAGTGACCGATTATAGTCAGAAATAATCCTTCAAAAGGTTTTTTCAGTAAAGTTGACCTTTAAATAGAGTATTAATCCGTCACATATTAACCTGTGGAGTTATTTCTGTTCATCTGCATCACTACAGAAAAGTTATCCATAGAGTTGTTGCAATCATTAACATGAATGTTTGTTTATGTGCGGACCAAGGACATTTACTTGTGCAAACCACTCATAGCACCTCTAAAGATAAAAATCACGAGACGCTTCTCGAAAACAAAAACAAAAAATTCAAGTATAAAAAGATTTTTAAAATTATTAAAAATATGTTTAAAAGGACAAAAAAGTTAAGGAAAGGGAGAGAGAAAATGAATAGGAAAGAGGGAAATCAGTGGATCTCGGGAAAGGTGGAATAAGAGCAGAACAAGGAGAGGGTGGTGAAGGTCACGCTAAAACCAGCTTGAACAAGTGAGTCTTCAGCTGCCTTTTAAAGGAGACCACTGAGTCCACTGCTCTCAGGCTCAGGGGGAGAGAGTTCCAGAGTCTGGGGGCCACAGCAGCAAATGATCTGTCACCTTTGGTCTTTAGCCTGGTGCTGCACAACCAGTAGGTTTTGGTCACTGGACCTCAGGGACCTGCTGGGGGTGTAGGGACTAAGAAGATCACCAATGTAAGATGGTGCTTGTCCATGTCAGGTCCTATAGACCAGAACCAGGACCTTGAAATGAACCCTGAAGTTGACTGGCAGCCAGTGAAGCTGGAGGAGAAGCGGGGTGATGTGGGTGTGTTTGGAGGACTTGGTCAGAAGCCGAGCACAGGCGTTCTGAACCACCTGTAGACGGTTCAGGGAGGTTCTGCTCAGACACGTGAAAAGAGAGTTACAGTAGTCTAAGCGTGAGAAGATGAAGGTGTGGAGAAAAATCTCAAGTTCAGAGCGGGACGGAATGAGACACAGCTTAGCAATGTTCCTCAGATGGAAGACTAGAAACACGAGAACTGGCATGAGAATCCAGGGTGAGAGGCCAGTACACATACACAGTAAATGGTACTTACAGATATTTACACAAGCTGCTTCAGGTATTACACTTGATGTTACACCACTTTGTGTCTATTTGGGGTTATTGCTTTTATTTATTGCGGCATTTGTTGTGACAACATAGTCTGAAGAATTCTTGTTTTAGATTGATCTGATTTCCAGAAGTCACTTCAAAATCCCTGTGTTGTGTTTTGCGAGCCTCAACTGGGCCTCATCCCTGACTTTGGGAACCCCTACTAACTCTTATATAAGGTACAGAAAATGTCAAGAACAAAGCTGCTGACATCGCTTTATGTGAGATGGGTTTAGTGCAGAAAACGTCATAAACTTGTTTGGTATCTACCACAGAGCTACTATAACTTGTGAAAAAAGTCACACTGTGCACCCTTTAACTCCAAACCCACAGGAACTGGAAGGCCTGAGCTCCAGGGAAGTTCAGGAAATCTGTCTGCCTGTCACTGAGGAGGGACAGCTGGACGCCCTGGCTGTGTGGTTCCAGCTCCACCTGGACGAGGAGAACAGTCTGTCTACTGGACCCCAGGAAGACACCTGCTGGGAACAGGCCATCTATCCCTTCCACAGCACCGTGTGTAAGACGCATTTCCTTTACATGTTTACTCAGACTTGGGAATTGAAAATAAAATGTAACATTAGTGTTGAGTGATGAGTGTTCTGTGCTCTCCCGCGAGGAGCATCCTTAGACCACCGTGAGTCTAACAGAGACATCTGAGGACACGCATTATTGCACCGACCCGGCTCAGTAACGTGTCTCTGCTCTGCTAATTGGTTCCGGCGGCCTCAAAGGAGACTCCACCTTTCTCAGTGATCACCAACATCCGCTGTGAAGCGCGCGGCGTCATAGTCTGCAACACTCTTTAGCTTTCATGAAATTCTTATATGCGATAAATATGCATATTTTACCCAGAAGGCCCCAGACGAGCCCCACGCTGACAGGAACAGAAGTCATTCCTCCAGGAATCCTCTCTTTGTGTGATCTCCTGAATCTCATTCCACTCGTGGATTTGCCCTTTTTCTTCTTTGTGTTTTTCTTGTTTTCTGCTTTATTCCTACTCTTTTACGACTCTGCCTTCATGCCATCTCAGAAGTTGAATCCAGCAAGCAGAACATCATAAAACGTATCATATTTGTCTCGAACATCTTTAGTTTTTATATCTGATTACACAACCAGCTCTGTTCACTCCACAAGCTTCAGCGGCTGGATATTGTTAGAAAGCTTTTACCTGAGATGTTCATCGCTTTTTCTTTATAGCAGTAAATTTGCAGTCTGGTGCAAGATTACGTAGAGTTTCCGAATCGTCTGATTGGATTCCTGTTAACATGTTTAGAATTCTACCTGATGTGTGTCACATTTGTATTATTTAGTTGTTATATAAAGTTTTTTTTCTGCCTCTCCTCTAGGTTTTGTGCTAAAGCCACGAGACGAGTTGATCGTTGAAGTGTCCTGCCGTGACGCCTACCTGAGACTCAGCAGTGTCGCTGTGCTGAGAGACGGGCATAAAATTCATCTGGATGGGGGAGCGGAGCTGAAACGTTCCGGAAATCTCGTTCCGAACCCAGAAGCAGAACTGTGCAGTGCTTTAGCATGCCTCCAGACAAACCACAGTCAGTCCGATGACTTCTGCATCCTGGAGTGTTCGGAGATGGCGCTCCTGAACAATCAGGAGTACCACCAGAGTTTTTGTGGTGCGTTAAATAAGCTCATTTCCCAGTTAAAGGATAAAAACAATGAGCAAGAATGCGCCACATCCATGCCAGTCGGGAGCCCGCTCTATGTGCTGGACGTGTCTGAGGGTTTCTCTCTGATCTCCGTCATCGCGGCTCGGCAGGGTGGCGTGAAAGCCTTCAGCTCGGTGGAAAAGAACAAGCAGCAGGAAGTTCTGAGGAGACTCTCTCGGTCCAACGGGATCTCCGTGCAGCATCTAGAGTTCTGGCTTAACCACAAGGAGGAGGAACAGGGGGTTCTTCAGAGACCGTCCACGGAGAAGCTGTGGAGCGCCATCATCCTGGACTGTGTGGAAACGTGTGGGCTCATCAGACAAAAGCTGATGGAGAAAGCTTCCCTGGCCAGGTAAAGACACCAGCGTTTGTCTTTGGAAAACTGATCTACGCACTCGTTTCTATTTGATGTATCTGCTCCTAAATGTAGAAGATCATTTCCACACGATCTAGTTTTACACCACAAGTGATCCTAGCATGTGTAGTAATACAGTGATCCCTCGCTACTTCGCGGTTCGTTTATCGCGGATTTTTTCTTTGGAGCCTTATTCAAGGGAAATTTGCAGATTCGCGTTATTTTTCTATGCGAAATATCAAGAAATTCCTGTTTTTTTTCATCAATTTCATCATAAAATGTACATTAAAGGGTGGTTTGTTAACAGTACTATGTAAAGGGAGGGTTTTAAAAGTCTGAATACTGTACGTACCTGTTAAATAAATACTGTAAATATGGTGTCCCTACTTTGTGGATTTTCACCTATCGCGGCCAGGTCTGGAACGCATCTACCGCGATAAACGAGGGATCACTGTATGGTATTTATTCTACGTTTGGCACAAGATGTTTTGAAATGAGCTAATTCCCTGTAGCGTTTGCCTATCCGACCCATTTAGTCCGTGCTCTTAGGGAAAACCTGCCCGAGTAAAGGATTGTGCTGAACTGTTTCTGAGACGTGTTCCTGCTCATCTGATGGAGAAATGCATTAACTAGAGTAGACACACTCAGCTCTGATCACAGAACATTTTGAGGCAGTGAGAGATCCTTAAGTTGCTTTAGTGCTTTACTTATCGATATATTGAATTGCTTTCCACTGGAATCTTTACCAGGTGTTTGCTGGAGGAAGGTGGGCGCATTTTCCCAGAGAAGGTCGTTGTTTATGGGATGCTGGTGGAGTCGGACACGCTGCTTCTGGAAAGTGCCGTTCAGGGTCGGGAGCCAACTCTGGGGTTCAACATCGCTCCATTCATCAATCAGTTTACTGTGAGTATCCCTGCTGAACCCTACCTTTGTGAGGTTTGACCTTGGCTTGTTAAAGTCTGCATTCCGACTGCAGGAACCTTTTCCAAGAACTAAAGGCTTTTAGAAAAATCCATTTGTTCATTCACAACAAGAACGAGGTTCTGAGTGAAGTAGTGGAAGAGATCTTTACCCTCCAATAACGTTAATGGCTGCATTAGCTTGTAATGTTCACTTTTCTGTCTCAGTCATCTTATATTTAGTCACTGAGCATAAATGTGTCAGCTTTAATTTAGAATAGTTATTTATTGTAGACACAACCATTAAATTCAGTCATTTGTGGGCAAAAGCTGCGAAGAGGTGGGGATGAAACCAGTCTGGAAGTGATTAAAGGGAACTAGTGGCCGTCATGACAACAAAACACAGAATCTCAGCAGTGAATAACTTTTTAAGTCAGAAATTAAAACACAAAGTGATTTTAAATCAAAGCAGCTGAAAAACACTTTTGTTGCACTGCTCTTTGTGTCTTTGTACTAAAATTATATGATGGACTGTGTTCAAGAAAGTGGTTTAAAACATTAGATAAGTGGAGTGATGGTGGCAGAGGAGTTGAATGCCTGCTGGAGGGTTGCAGGTTTGAGCCCCATCTGTAGCAGTTGTGTCTTTGGGCAAGTCACCTAATTGATGGTGGTGGTTGGAGGGAGCGGTGGTGCTAGTGCTCAGCAGCCTTGCCACTGTCAGTGCGCCCCAGGGCAGCTGTGGCTACATTGTAGTCTATCACCACCGGCGTGTGAACATGTGTGTTAATCAGGGGCGGATTTAGAACTGAAGAAGATCCGGGGCTTAACACACACACACGCACGCACGCACACACACACACACACGTGACACGCACTAGTCAACATCATATATATTTGTCTTGTGCCACACAATTTTTAATCTGAAGCTACATATTAAGCATTTTCAGGGCAGAGTATTGTTCCTGTTAGTGTTTAGTGTGAGATGATAGTAAATATTACCTTTCTTTCTCCATCAACTTTACCTGATAAGCTAACTTTAGGCAAACCAGCAGCAGCACAACAAATATTTTCAAACCTGAGTCAACACCAGTCTCATCAAAGCTGGGGTTCTGTCGCGGTACTTTTGGTCTAAAAAACGTCCTTATGTCCATCTTCACTCATGCGTTTCAGGCAGAGTGCAGAAAAAAACAGGCACTGCAGAAGAAGCCGGCTGCTGAAGGGCTTCTTCTTCAGTGGTGGAGGCTCAGGCAGGCTGTATACAAACTACTGCTAGCTGCTCCCTCTCTGTTGGACTTTGGTACTGCATGTTACTTCCACGATTTAGATCCGGGGCTTTTCATAAAACATTCGGGGCTTGAGCCCAAGTAGCCGGGCCTAACGCCGCCCCTGGTGTGAGTGGGTGTGTTATCACACAATCTTCTACAATGTTTGAGTGCAATATTTTACATGAACTTCATGAGTGAAATCAGTAATTATCACTGCCAAAGGATTTTGCAAAATGTATTTAATTGTAAAACTGTGGAGGTGTGCATCCATTAGTAGTAGAAATGTCATTATTTAGCAGAGAACCTCTCACACCAGCGGTGTTCTGTTGCTAAAGACTTAAGTAAGTACAGTTTATTTAAAAAGCACTTATCACAGACATAGAATCACAAAGTGCTTCACTTGGATCAAAACAAAATAAAACAAAGTCATGAAATCATAATGAATTCAAAACAGAAATAGATTAACATCAGAAAAAATCAAGTCATAAAATTATACAATTTCATAAACAGATGAAAGATGATTACAAACATAAGAAAGTGCCTACATGAGAGTGTAATGAGTGGAGGACCAAGGTAAACACGGAAGCGCAATGGTTCAGTGAGGCTGACAAATGAATAGTCCAATCGTTGGTTCTGGACCAAGCAAATTTATTGGTGGAGGTTTTTAGACAAATGCGAGAGAACCGCTTGTTTTTTGTTTAGTTTGAATCTCTACCATACCATCTCAGTGGCCTAGTGGTTGAGTGTCCGTCCTGGGACCGGGAGATCGGGGTTCAAATCCTGGTCCGGTCAAACCAAAGACTTTAGAAATGCAACCCAATGCCTCCTGCTTGACACTCAGCTTTGAGGGGTTGGATTAAACCAGCAAATAGTTCCTAAGCGTGTCCACAGCTGCAGCTCACCGCTCCCCACGGGGATGGGTCAAATGTGGAGATGTAATTTCACCAGTGTGGGATGACTAATGGGACTTTAGCTTATATTTATAGCCATAATATTTTAGAGTGTTGTTCAGAGGGTTGGAAAAATGTTGTAAGCTAGCTTGTTTACATATTTGTCATTTTCTTTAGAATCACAAACAATGTTTGTTGACAACACATTTGGGTTATAAATGACTGTGAAAGTAAGGCAACATTTTCATATTTAATTTGTTGGCTGCCAAGGCTTCATTCTACAAATATGTATTTTTTTAATCATGTCAAATCAAATGTTAAGTGTTGAGTGAAATATTTTATCCACATAAACTGAGGAGTTTTTTGACTGAATTGTTTTATTAATCTGATTTAATAATCATATATTTAAATAAGATTAATCCATTGGGGTGTTGTATTTACTCTTTTTCCAGTGGAGGGCTTTATCTTTTGTGGCCTTTTGTCGTTTGTTGAGCGAGGACATCTCTTGAAACCCTGATGTTCAGAGCTGTGCTTTCTGTTCTCCTTTTTGATGTGTGTTTGCCAGCTGCCAAATCCCTTTGGATTCTTTTTCTTTATTTGGTCTGGAAATCATAGTTTTCCTTCAGCGTCATGTTTGTGCTCGTAAATTTACAGACCTCTCTCTCTCCTCTGCCCTCACGGGACGGTTGTTTGTTTCAGCAGATGCTATCTTTGAAGCCCTCTGTGGTGGGCACGTCGTTGCACAACTGTCACACACGCGACACAGAACACAGCTTGGCCCAAAGAGATTCCTACCCAAATCCATCAGAGCACATTGCACTGAGCTCATCAAACGGCGGGCTCTATGGTCTACACATCTCTGATGGAATGGGGGCTCTTCTGCAGAAGAAAAAGTAAAACCATCTGTGCTACTTTGGTTCTTCTTTAGTCTGTTGTCCTGAAGTCTTGTTTGCTTTGGTCAAATGGGATTTTCTCATGGAAACAATGACCATCAGCAAAGGTATGCTGACGTGTGACAACTTTGACTTAAATTTAAAGGTGCAACAGCAGAATCTCCTGACCTGGGTTTGTGGTATGTTTCGGGTCATTGTTGATCCGTACTGAGAAGTTCAGTCCAAAGCTTTGCAGGACTCTTTGTCCTAATTTGTCTGGTTGCTACTGTTGCTTTTGCTGCCTGATTATTTATACACAAGAGTGATTCAGTGCCCACAACATCACATCACCTCTTTCTTTTACAGATTGGTGTTTTATATTGTCCAAGACTTCTCAACACTTAATCAGTTAGCTCTGTCTGAGGCTAACCTTAATGTTAACTGTCCAAACTAAGTTATTCCAGAGCTGGTGCATTTATTTGGGTAAAATATAAACTTTTCTCTTTAGTCCAAAGGGTTATAACGAGATATAAATATAATTGTTTTCTATTAAAGGAGTGGAACATTTGCAGTGGTCTCCAGTGACTGAAACAAAGCGACTGGACTGGGCAGTCCTACGATTGTCAGTCATGAGTCCAACAGCAGAGGGGAAGAAACTGTATTAGTGGTGAGAGGTTCTGATCGAAATGGGTCAGAGCCTCCTGCCAGATGAGAGCGAGTCAAAAAGACTCTCGTAGGTGACACGGGTCAGTTGTGATACGACCTGCATGCCTCAGTGTCCTGGAGGTGTGCAGGTCCTGTATGGAAGGGAGTTTGCAGCTAATGACCTTCTCAGCAGAGTGTGCAACCTGCTGCAGCCCCTTCTTGTCCCTGGGGTTAGCTCCAGCACACCAAACAGTGATAGAAGAGGTGAGGATGGACTCGATGATTGCGGTGTAGAACTGTCTCATCGGCTGTACTTTTTAATGACGGAGGTGATGGTGGGCTCCCACTTGAGGTACTGGGTGATGGTGATACCCAGGTATCTGTTGGACCTCTTGCTGCAAAACACTCGGTCACGTTCCCTTAGGTCTGCAGGACAGATGCTGTTAAGGGTACCAAAGGTGCTTTGCTAAACAAGGGGAGAGAGGGCATTTGCTACCATGGTGTTCTAAAATAAAAATGTTTTATTTTATTTTACTTTACACTTTATATTTATTTAATCAGGATCGTTGTCAAGTCGACGCCAGAAACAATGAAACACAACTTGAATATCAGATGAACAACAAGGCTTTATTCAACCGGCATTCATACAAGTTATCAATCATGAACGAAACATTTCTCTTACCGTTGCTTATGGGTGGAGAGCTGAACACCCCAGTTAGAAAACGTAATCCATGATAGGTGAAGAACTAAACACATGTAATCCATGAACCTCGTCAGGTAGAATCCTTCAAGCAGCTCTAACCCCCCTGAGCCCTGCTCTGCTCCTTATACATTCCCTGATGTGCGTGCAAATCTGCACACCTCTACCATGATTACCTTGATTACATCCTCATGATCACATTATGTTCGGCTCTACCATGATTACCCTTGATTACATCCTCATGATAAGTGTGACTGACAAACAGTAGTGATCAATAACTTATATAAAGCAATTATACAACAGATGACAAGTTCATTTTTATTACACATGGCAAGCCACCCTATGTGTGTAAATATATAGTCTGGCCATGGACCATTTAATTAGCTCACTCACAGGTGCGAGATCTTTTTGGTTTAGTTTCAGTCTTTGCAGGCAATTGGACAGTGCTAGGATCCATCAGAACATCAAACAACCTGATGTACTCACCGCTACGGATGTCGCTTAACAGGGCAGTCCTCCAAATTAGGGATGGACAATATATCAGCATCAATATCGGTATCGGCCGATGTTATAGTCATTTTTTAGCATATCTGTATCAGTCCGATAAATAGAACCGGGCTGATATTAACAAC